CCCACTTCACAAGAGAGAAATGGGGCTCCCCGAGGCTGAGCTTTTGTCCATGATGATAGTGGAGGCCAAGCAGCTCAGAGCCAACACACACCCACTGTGCGCCCTGTGCCAACCTGCACTGAACCAGCTGATTATTTAAACAGTTAATTTTGCTCCTCAAGATCATTCGTGTTTGTTTCGTTTTTGTTTCTTTCTCATGTGCAGGGGTTATTGGGGTTGGGGCACCAAGTTAGAGCAATGCATATTTCCAATTAGCTGGGGGCTCCTGGAAGTGCCAGGATGGCTGGTGGGTTTTGTTGGATAATCTTAGAGAATTCCTTCAGTAGAAACAGATACAAAATCAGTATCTTCTCATTTTGGAGTAAGGGATAAATAAGGGATGACTTGAAGGCATAAGAAGGATGGAAAATTGGAGTCCTTCTCTTAAAGTGTTTGAGAAATTTTGCAAGTTAGTGTTTAAACCAGACTGAGATACCCAGGAGACTGGCAATGGAGACTTCGTTGGGAGAAGCTTCGGGGCCTGGGCTCTGGAGGGCAGGGCAGGGCTTCTCTACCAGTGTCAAGAACTTCTGGGACTGTAAAGGTAAACTGGTGTGTCCTATCCATGCAAAGCCAGCAAAGATCCCAGAGCAAAGACCCCGTATCCGAAAGGTCCGCAGCTGGCCGGATCTCAGGAAGGTGGTCCAACAGTGGTCAAGGCAGCCGCCAGGCCCAGGAGAATCTCCTGAAGGCTGTGTTTCAGGTTTCTCGTCTCATAAAACTAGCATTTTTCTTTCCTAAACTTTCAGTTTTCATATAACTTAACTTTGCTTTTCTTTCTAAAAGGAGAAGACCTGTCGGAAACTGTGCTGTGCTGGCTCCTCCCAGCGTGGTGCTTAGCTGGTCCGTTTCCAAGGCAGGGAATCACCACCAAGAGACACGTCGGCGTTCCAGTAGTTCAAAGCTGCAGACCCCATGGCAGGCAGGGATTGAAGACAGGCCCTGGGCCCACCGCCTGCTTCCTCCCTCACACACAGGAGCCAAGAGCCCTCGGAGTTAAAGACGCTGCTGAGAAAGCCATCTTCCTGGGACACACAGACCACAGTTCCAGCTTGAGGTTCAGAGACAATGAGTCATTTCCCATGTTTCCCGTTTTTGTCCAGGTTCAGGGCAGGGGGAGGGATGCCTCGGCGCCACTGTCTGGCCAGAGCCTGCCCTCCCCAGCTCTGTCCTGGAGCTGACACTTGAACCATGTTCCCGAAGCTGGGACTTCAAGTAAATGCAGCGTCTGGCTGCGGCTGCAGGAAACTCTTTCCAGGGCTTCTGTTTTCCCCTTTTTTGTTTGACTTTATCTTCACACTGACCCTGTGGTCGGCTGACCTATTTCCTGTGAAGTGAAGCAGGAAGAGCAGGAGAGTCAGAGAAAGTAGATGAGCCGCCGGGACTCGGTTAAAATGCAAATCATGCTATTCTGCTTATGAGACAACCTAAAATAAAATGACCCAAATATTTTAAAAATAGGATCATGAGGTCAAGAGATCGAGGCCATCCTGGCCAACATGGTGAAACCCCATCTCTACTAAAAATAAAAGAAATTAGCTGGACATGGTGGTGCACGCCTGTAGTCCCAGCTACTCGGGAGGCTGAGGCAAGAGAATCGCTTGAACCCGGGAGGTGGAGGTTGCAGTGAACAAGATCGCAGCACCGCACTCCAGCCTGAGTGACAGAGCAAGACTCCATCTCAAAAAAAAATGATGTACAAAAACAAGCTGGGAGGAGGGCAGTGGAGGTGACAATGTGGAGAAAACACAGGTTCCTGGAGAAGGAGCGTCCCAGACACAGGCGGCCGGGGAAAAGCACAGCTGTGGGGCTGTGACTTCACAAGGGCAAAGCCGGCGGAAGAGGTGGAAGGCTCTGGGAGGCTCATGCAGGAATTCAGTCCATTAATGAGATTTTGACTTGTGTGCTTCGACCCAGCGTATAGGAGGCGTTGGCTCTCATACCTAGAAACAAGACACGTGCAGGATTGTTAAATCTCATCCCCAAATCTTCCTGCAGATTTGACTCTGCGTAGGCCTCTGCCAACCACCTGAGTAATTTGACTCTCCTGCCTGAGTCCAGCCCACAGATGGAATTGTGACATATTGCCACAGTGATTTGTCATTGTGAGGGAGAAAGCACCTCACCTGGAGTGAAAGAGGGCACTGCTTTTGGCAGTGAAATGAGCCAAGTGCCCCCACATGCCACCCTTCATGTTGGTAAGGATGTGGGAAAGCACCACTGCAAACGTTTCTAAGAAGTGTAAAGAATAGGGTTTTTGACATTATAAACCAATTTTAAATAACTTATTATAAACTGAGAAAATAACATTGATCTGTAACTTGCACAATACACCAAAAGTCCGTACTTATTGAATTCCATATTTATGAAAGACTTAAAGGTCATCAAGAAAACTTATAGTAATAGGAGAAAATACAGGCGAATACTTGCACGATCTTAGCTCGAGAACCCTTTCTGGTTACGGCACAGGGACCAGATGCCACAGGGAAACTGCTGATGGATTTGACTATCTCAAAACAAACTTAGGTGAAATGATAAGTAATAATGTGGAAGAGAGTGCTTATGACATTGATAATAGAAAAAAGGTACATATTGATAACATCTAGTTACTACAGATTAATAACTAAAATGAACATATGATAAGAATTTGGTCAAAGGCTATGAACAGACAATTCATGTGAGAAGAAATTAAATGGTCCAAAATTTAAAAATATATTTACTACCCAAAAGTATGAGGAAACGGACATTTTTGAGACCACTTTAAGCAGAGGTGCAAATTGCTAGACCGTTGGTGGGGGGCAATTTGGTGGTGTCCATTGAAAATCTAAATGCGCTTGCCTTTTTATTTAATAATTTTACTTCTAGGAATACAGCATAATTTTGTGTAAAGATATATACAGGTTAAGATGATCATCATAGTTTTACTTGGAATATTGAAAAACTGAAAACAACCTGATTTCAATAATTAGGGGACTGATTAAGTAAATTAAGGCAAATCTGTACAAAATATTTTGTAACTGCTAAAAAAAGAAATGAAGAAGCCCTTCATGTACAGAATGGAACTATTTGTTGGATACATTATTGAGTGGAATTAGCAATTTACAGAAAACTACATAGAGTAGGGCCCCATTTTTGTGAAAACAAACAATATAGCCGGGCACAGTGGCTCACACCTGTAATCCCAGCTGCTGAGGAGGCCGAAGCAGGAGAATCACTTAACTCGGGCAGCAGACGTTGCAGTGAGCCGAGATCACGCCATTGCACTCCAGCCTGGGTGACAGAGTGAGACTCTGCCTCCAAAAACAAACAAACACCAAAAAAACACAAATATATGTACTTGACAACTAAAAATCAGGTTCACATGCAAGTTGCTAACAGTGATCACTTGCAGCGGCTGCCATCCCAGGGAGGACGCCCATGTTCCTTACACCCTCTACACTGTTGGACATTTTGTGGTTTACAAAAAGCAAGTATTAGCTTTGTATTTAAAAGATTTGAGAAAATTGATTGGACATGAAATGTTCAAATTGTCAATGTAAATTGCAAAGTAAACCGGATTTCTGAACGCCTTAGGAGTTAGTAATTGCCTAACTGTCATGTGTCTTTGCACGGACACTTGTTCTCTTCACTCATCAGGATTCGACAAGCGGTGCCCAGCAAGCAGCAGAGCTGGGCTTACAATGTCCTCCCAGGCAGGGAAGGAAGCACTGCAAAGCTGACACCAGCACAGATACCTGTGGGAACTGCACGGGCCTAGACAATGAGGTGGTACTTCAAGTAGCTGTGTGGGGGTGGAGTGTGCAATCCTGAAGCTTGTCCAGGACTGGGGCCTGTGGTTCTGCAGCTTGTGCAGGGTTAGGGTTAGGAGCTTGTGCAGGCGTGGGTTCTGCGGTCCTGGAACTTCCACAGGGGTGAGGTCCATGGTCTTGGAGTTTATGCATGGGTGAGATCCGTGCTCCTGGAGCTTGTGCAGGAGTGGGGTCTGTGGTCCTGGAGCTTGTGCAGGGGTGAGGTCCATGGTCCTACAGTTTGGGCAGGGGCGAGTTCCACGGTCCTAGAGTTTGTGCAGGGGTAGGGTCTGTGGTCCTGGAGTTTGTACAGAGGTGAGGTCCGTGGTCCTACAGTTTATGCAGGGGTGGGGTCTATGGTCTTGGAGTTTGTGCAGGGGTGGGGTCTGTGGTCCTGGGGTTTATACAGGGGTTTGGTCCTGAAGCTTGTGCAGGGGTGGGGTTCATAGTCCTCAACTTTGTGCAGGGGTGAGGTCTGTGGTCCTGGAGACTGTGCAGGGGTGGGGTCTGTGGTCCTGGAGTTTGTGCAGCGGTAGGGTTTGTGGTCTTAGAGTTTGTGCAGGGGTGGGGTCAGTGGTCTTAGTTTGTGCAGGGGTTGGGTCAGTGGTGTTGGAGTTTATGCAGGGGTGGGGTCTGTGGTCCTGGAGTTTGTGCACGGGTGGGGTTCATGGTCTCAGAGTTTGTGCAGGGGTGGGGTTTGTGGTCTTAGAATTTGTGCAGGAGTGGGGTTTGTGGTCCTGGAGTTTGTGTAGGGGTGGGATTCATGGTCCTTCAGTTTGTGCAGGGGTGGGGTTTGTGGTCTCGGAGTTTGTGCAGGGGTGGGGTTCGTGGTCTCAGAGTTTGTGCAGGGGTGGGGTCCGTGGTCCTGGAGTTTATGCAGGATAAGGTGTATGGTCTTGGAGGTTGTCCTAGGGTGGGGTGTCTGGTCCCAGAGCTTCCATAGGGTTGGGGTCCGTGGTCCTGGAGCATTTATTTAATGTTTGATGTCTATGTATTTTCCTTATGATGGACTGGAGTTTAAGTAAAGCAATCTTCCACACTACAATGTTCCACATTATAATGGTTACATGTCCAGGTAAAGAGTAATGGAAGATTTTTATAACTCTTTAATTAATTTGATTTATTGGGGTTATTTATAAGCAGTATAATTAATGACAAAATTTAAATCTCATGGTTCTGCCTTTGCAATTATAATTCTGCCAATGTGAATAAAATGAAAAGAGTTTAGAGTTTAAATTGTGGGACAAACTCAGATTTTTAATTCTTTCCATTCTGGACTGTGGGACAGCAATTTAATTCAAGATCATGACATGATTTTTTTTTTCCTTTTTCTCTTTTCTAAATTAAAATTAAAATTAAATAATTAATTAATTAATTACTTATTTTTTTGAGACAGAGTCTCTCTCTGTCACCCAGGCTGGAGTGTAGTGGTGTGATCTCAGCTCACTGCAACCTCTGCCTCCCAGGTTCAAGCAATTCTCCTGCCTCAGCCTCCCAAGTAGCTGGCATTACAGGCGTGTGCCACGCTTGACTAATTTTTTTTGTGTTTTTAGTAGAAACGGGGCTTCACCATCTTGGCCAGGCTGGTCTCGAACTCCTGGCCTCGTGATCCACCCGCCTCGGCCTCCCAAAGTGCTGGGATTACAGGAGTGAGCCACCGCGCCTGGCCTCTTTTTCTTTTTTTAATAGAGACAGTGGCTCACTGTTTCCCAGGCTGGTCGCAAACTCAGCTCAAGTGATCTTCCTATCTCGGCCTCCCGAAGTCCTGGGGTTATAGGCATGAGCCACTGTGCCTGGTCAACATGATTTTAATGATGTTTTATTCATATTATGTGGCAAAGTTATTTTCACCGGATCTTTCTCTCACAATCTGCAGTCAATCAGCTGACCTTATTTTAATTGCCTTAGTTTTGTGGGCAAATGCGTGGCGGGTAGTTCGTCGGCTGGGTGGCTGTTCTGCATCTCCTGTTAGAGGGTGTGACCACTGGACAGATCCTTGCTGACAACTGAACAAAATGCTCAAATACAGCAAAGAATCAGAGAATACATAATTTTGATGAATCTGATGAAGTAAAATGGGAAATTTCAAATAGCTGTGGATTTTAGGCGAAAAGGAAGGTGCAGGTACCTTTTTGCTTGGTGCATCTGCCTCCGGGGAGATTCCGCACCAGCGCCCCAAACCTCTCAGCTCTGCCCCAGTCTTCCCACCACCTTTGAGCTCCACACCACGGTTCTCAGTGTGTGATTCCTTCCCGAACGGCCCTGTTTTCTTCTGCACTCTACGAAGTTCCTGTTCTCTCTTCCCCCTGTGTAGACTCCAGGAAAGAGCAAACACATGTTTTGAAATCTGTACTTAATTAAGGCGTGTGTGGTTGCCATTCCCTGGACACTGCCAGCAGGCTTCAGGGTGGGAAGGGGATTCTGAGTGCAGGGTTGCTCCTGCTTCCCACTGAGCCAGCATTTAACAAACCATTTCTCCTCCAGGTGCCGGAGTGGGCGCTGCTGGTTCGGAGAGGAGAGGGGTGAGGGGCACACTCAGCCCTGCAGGAGGGTTGGTTCCAGGTGAGGACAATGGGGCACAGCGGGGAGGGCTCTGGGTACTTCCTGATCATGGTCAGTGGAGCAGATGCTGGGTGAGATGAGTGGGAGAGAACGGGGTCCCCAGACGGGGAGGACAAGCACCTGGGAGCCCGTGGGAGCTATGAGGGAGTTTGGCAGGGGCTGGATTTTGGAGGGTCCTATCAGTGCACGGAGTCCTGTGCATATGCAAGACATCGGGGAGCCTCTAAATGCTTCACACCAGGCTCTGCAGGCCCTTGAGAAAGACCCTGCGGACAGGCTGGGGTGGGACTGGGGGGCATCAGGTGGAAGGGAGGGGCATCGAGGCAAGCCCACTGCAGTGGTGAGATAGGAGCATGAAGACCTGTTCAGGAGGCTGCGTGATGGAGAGGGAGCTGTGGGAGCTGCGGAAGTGCCTAGGGCAGGGGGGTGTCCCTGGCTGTGGAGCACAGAGGAGCAGGAAGTCAAGAACCTGCCAGTGTTAGGGCTGAGTCTGCTGAACTGGGGAGATACGTGGAAGCAGAGAATAATGGTGGACGACCAGTGGCTTCCTCCTGGATGGCCTCACCATCACCCTCCAGACCTTGTGCACTTCCTCTGTGACAGGCCCTATCCTGTGTATATTTGGTTTTGTTGGTGACAGATTTCATCTATCGTTTTGGAAAACCGTAGCCCCTCACGTGCTGTGAGATGCGTCTCCAACTCAGAGCCATTAAAGAGTGTGTGTCTCAGTGAAATGGAGTGATCTGAGAGGGGGGCACTGTTGGCGGCTTGATGGAGACTGAAGCCATCCAAGTGGCGGGGCTGGAGCTGGGCTGGGCTGGGCTGGGCTGGAACGTTTGGGTGGAACTCAGGAGTGAGGCTGGTGTTCAGGAGTGACAACAGGGCTGAAGACTTGGATCTGAGATCCTTTCTGCTGCATGGAAGTGGCGCTGGGGCAACGTTGTCCAGGAAGGACAGACAGGCAGGGAGGCAGCCAAAGGCTGAGCCACAGGAGCAGAGGAACACAGGGCAGAAGGAAACACTTGAGGGAGGCAGGAAGTGCAAGAGAAAGTCAGGAGTGAATTACAACCAGGAGGGGCATGGACGCTTAGGTTAAAAGCTGCAGAAAAGTGAAGGGTTAGGCCGGATCAAAGTAAACTGACATTTTATGAGGGCCAAATACAGTGGAAAACCAGCAAAGTCACTCAACATAAAAAGAGGAGGACGGAGGAGTCCCTGTGAAATCAGTGCATAAAAATGTTCCCTTCAGCATCACTGATAATAGTGAAAATTCTGAATGAGTTTTTAATAAGTGATTAGGAAAGTGATGAACCCACTGAAGTGATGCTCAGAAGTTTCAGTGAGATGCAAAATGTCTTAAGCCAGGATATGAGATTATATACCAAGTACAATTTTAATTATGCTTAATACATATCTATGTGCACAAAATATCACTACAAGGGAACGCAGAGAATATACAAAAAGTATTCTCTCTGGGTGATGAAATTACAGGCAACTTACATTTCTTCTCTGTATCCATAAATATGTATTATGTTACGATCAATAATAATAAAAACATTACTTTTTAAACTTTAGAAGGAAACAATTCAATAAATTGAGCAACTGGGAAGTCACTGGTGGCCTCATTTGATTGTTCAGTCATTCGACAAATATTGACTGGGTACCTACTGCGTGCCCAGCACCGGTCTGGTGGACAAAAGGGACAAAGTCCCTGGAGTCATGAGGCTTGCGTTTCAGTGGGAGACACACAGTAAACAGGTCAACACACACGTAAGTGACGGCGGATGACAGCTGCGGTGTCCGAGCTAAACGGGAGACAGCAGTGGAGCCAGAAGGAGTGGGACGGCGCCACACCGGAGGGCATCGGGCCTTCCTCTAGACGTGACATTTAGGTTGAGGCTGAAATCTGAATACGAGCTAGGCCTATGGGAACATTCTAGATTCCTTCTCACACACCAGGAAGGGCCCCTGAGACATGGAGGAGAAAGGTGTTGTGCTCGAGGCCTCATCTTAACTGACAGCTTTGCTGTGATTCCAGGCAGAGCTGTTGACTTTATTATCTGATCTTCTATGAGACCAGCTACTCGGATTACTGTGCGAATCAGTGTCATCCGGTTCACTCTTCTCTTTCTTTTTCTGTGTCTAACTGATGATTTCGGCTACGTGAGGTTTCACAGGAGCGAGTTTCACAGGAGCGAGTTTCACAGGAGCGAGTCAGCACGGGTTGGATGCGGACAGAGGGAAGGTGCCCAGTGGCACCGGCCGGCTGCTCCTGTTTCCCTGCAGCTCCTCCTGAGGACAAAGGAAGTGTTTCTGTATTATCCATTATTCGGGAATTACCCCTGCTTGCTTCCTTCTCTTTTGTTTCCATGACTAATTGGCAGCTGGCCTCATTTGTCTTCCTTCCTCCCTGAATTTTCATTGACCCAAATTCTACCTCCAGGCTTTAAAAAATCTTCTATATCAAGAAAACCAAATGGGTCCTATTTATTTCCCTGAAGGATGAGGCTGCCCTTGGTTGTGGACCTGCTTATTCACACTGGAGGTGGCAGGGGGAACGCGCTTCTTGTGGCTTCTGGCCTCCCAAAGGGGGGGGTTCTTGTCCAGGCGTCTGTATAGAAAACTGGACACATGGCAAGGCTCCCAGAGTCGTCCCAGCCAGAACCAAATCCCAGAGACACGGCACACAGTCTGGAAAACCGTGGGCAGAATTCAGGCAGCCATGAACCCGGATAGGAAAGTAACAGTGTCATATTTTCATCAGTTTTGGCCGTAATTCCGCATTTCCTTCATTATACTTGGAGGCAACAAACACGCTCACCTGTGACTCTATCACCAAGAGAAACTTCGGACATGGACGTTACAGCTGCTGTTTATTTTTTCAGACATTATTCACGCTTATCGCTTGGGTAAATTTTGGTGGCTGTCGGGCCTGCTGCAAGGTCTTGTTATTTAACGTGGTAATAAATAAGCACTTGGATTATTTTGTTATAGTTAAAAAATTACTTTGATAATGTGCTTCAGGCTGGGCGCGGTGGGTCACACCTGTAATCCTAGCACTTTGGGAGGCCGAGGTGGGCAGATCACCAGAGGTGAGGAGTTCAAGACTAGCCTGACCAATATGGTGAAACCCCGTCTCCACTAAAAATACAAAAATTAGGCGGGCGTGGTGGGTGCCTTAATCCCAGCTGCTCGGGAGGCTGAGGCAGGAGAACTGCTTGGGCCCAGGAGGCAGTGGTTGCAGTGAGCCGAAAAAGCACCACTGCACTCCAACCTAGGCAATAGGAGTGAAACTCTACCTCAAAAAAAAAAAAAAAAAGAAAAGATAATGTGCTTCACTATAATTGATTGCCTGTGAAACTGTGTGGATTTTATTCTACTCATTTAAACACACTGCTTTCAGGAGTGTATGACGTCATCATTCTTCCCAGGCAGGTCGTGGAGCTCGATAGAAAACATCCATATTTGAAATACAAAGACACCAATAGCAACAACACTATTGCTGACCTTAACTGAGTTCTGAGCGCGAAGCCTTTGCCTGTCTTAGCTCATTTCATTCTCAGGACAAGCCTACAAGAAGGGCACAAGAGTTCCTATTTCATACGTGGGAACCAAGGAGCAGAGAACCTGGCAATTTGTCCAAGGTCACACAGCTGGAAGTCTAAAGCTGGGAGAGACTGCGGAGTGAGCCGGGGTCCCACCTGGCTCACACATCTTACCAGCTCTGTGAAATGCTGAGCTGCCCAGCGACCCAAGGAGATGCATTTGTTGCAGACTTTTTATTTTCCGATTCAGCTTCTCCTTGCTTTCTGGCTGAGTCCTCTCCCAGAGGAATAGTGTGGGACATTATTCTGGACCTGAGCTGCAGTGCCAAAATGGGGTGAAAAGCCACCACATAGCCTCTCGAGGGAAAAAATGGTGGTGGTGACAAAGTCTAGTTAGCTACAGAAGAACATTTCCAAGCACAGAACGATGGACTAATCAGTTTTCCCTATAAGGCAGAGGTCCCCAATCCCCAGGCCACAGACCCACACCAGTCTGTGGCCTGTTAGGAAGCAGGCCACACAGCAGGAGATGAGCGGGCCAGGGAGGAAGCTTCATCTCTGTTCGCAGCCACCCGCCATGGCTGGCGTTACGGCCTGAGCTCTGCCTCCCGTCAGATGAGCAGCACATTAGATTCTCATAGGAGCGCGAGCCCTGCTGTGACCCTCACGTTTGAGAGATCGAGGCTGCACGCTTGTGAGGATCTGATGCCTGATGGTCTGTCACCGTCTCCGCCATCCCTAGATGGGACCATCTAGTTGCAGGAAGACAAACTCAGGGCTCCCACTGACTCTGCATGATGCTGAGTTGTAGTCACCTCATTCTCTATTACAACATAATCACAATAGAAACAAAGTGTGCCATAAACATAACACGTGAATAATCCCCAAACCATCTGCCTCCCTGGCTGACCCTGTCTGTGGAAAACTGTCTTCCACAAAACTGGTCCCTGGTGGCAAAAATGTTGGGGGCTGCCACTACAAGGTGTAGAGGGAAAAGTTCTTAATTCAGGTACCACGTATAAATGGCAATCAGCACTACCAAGCAGAATGAAACTAGCTCTGTTATTCCCACAGGCACCCCAGCCATCCATAACCCTTAAGTCTGTGAAAGGAAAATAAAATCTGGGGACCCCAAACTCACTATACCAAAGGGAAAGGTGGGCTCAGGAATGGAGTCCCGTGCCACAAACTGCCTTCCTTTTGTTCAT